ATAAATCAAAACATTAGCTGGGTGTGGTTGTGCATGCCTATAATTCCAGTTACTTGGAAATCTGAGGCAAAAGGACCACCTGAACCCAGCAGGTAGAGGCTGTGGTGGCTGTGAGCATGCCACTGCACTCCAGCCTGGGCAACAGAGTGAGACTCCAACTCAAAAAAAAAAGAAAAAGAAATACATCCTGAGAATTATGACATAAATAATTTGAGGTATAATTATTGGCACATGAAATCAAATGGAAGCAGAAATCTAAGTTTGTAAGGGAATTGTATATGTGAAGAAACAGAAGGTAGAACTAAAACCTTTGAATTGTTCAAGTTAGAAAACAACTTTTGGGAGGAAAGAAAATATATCAAAGAGATTCCTGCACTTCCATGTTTATTGCAGCACTAGTCACAATAGCCAAAGATTATGGAATTAACCTAGGTATCTAATAACAGATGAATGGATAAAGAAAATGTAGTGTGTGTGTGTGTATATATATAAAATCAAATACTATTCAGTCCTTCAAAAAAAAGGGAAATCTTGTCATTTGCAGCAGCATGAATGGAACTGGAGGACATTATGTTCAGTGATATAAGCCAGGAACAAAACATTAAATGCTGCATGTTTTCACTCATATGCAGAAGATTTTTTTAAGTTGCTCTTCTACAACTGGTCTTCTGTGAAAAGAAGTAAAAAGTAGAACAGAACACTAGAGGCTGGAAAGGATAGAGTGAAGGGGGAGGTAGGGGGAGATTTGTTAAAGCACATGAAATGATAGGAGGAACAGGTTCTAGGGTTTTAAAGTGCTATAGGATTACTATAGTTAACAATAAAGTACATTTTCAGAAACCTATGAGAGGATATTCAATATTCCCAATACAAAGAAATGACAAATGTTTGAGATGATATGCTAATTACCCTGATCACTACATATCGTATGCATCAAAGCATCACTTTGTGCCACATAAGTGTGCACAGTTATGTGTCAATTTAAAATAATTTTTTAAAAAAGAAAACAACTCTGGAATCCTAAGCCTATACCAACAGGAAGCACAGTGCAAAAGTTGTGCCACTTCCAAGGAGGATATACTCCCAATATTCACTTCAAATGTGGCCAAGAAATATACATATGATGAAGGACCTCTCAGAGGGACATGAAGTACCATAGAGAACAGTAGATGTAGGAGTTGCTCCCAGAATGCAGAATCAGAATCTAATCAAACATAGGAATAGCTGGAGGCAGACTTTCTGGAACGGTCCTCCAAATATGTCCAATTCCAATCCATGGATCCTTTGAACGTGAGCTATCACTCCTGTTGTTAAGTTACATTATAGGGTGCAGTTGGCCTTAAGATAGGGAAATTATCCAAGTAGGCCCAGTGTAATCCCATGAGCCCTTAAAAGGAGAGAGCTTTCTCTGGTTAATGGTGGAAGTGGAAGTCAGAGAGATTATAAGTATGAGAAGGACTCAGCGTGTCACTGCTTCTTTGAAAATGGAGGGGCCTCTGGGAGCAGAGAATGGACCCTGGTTGACAACCAGCAAGAAAACGGGATGTTATATCTATAACCTCAAATAAATGAATTCTACTGACAACTTGAATGATCTTGGAAGTAGATTTTTCCCCAGAGCCTCCAGGTAAGAGATCAGCCCAGCCAGCACATTGGACCTCCGATGTGTGAAAACTGTGAAGTAACAAATGGAAATTGTTTTAAGCCACAAAGTCTGTGGTCATTTGCTATACGATACTAGAAAACTAATAGAATGGCCTTAAAATGTCTCTTCATTATTATTCCAGAAGCACTAGGCTGCTGATTGCTGTACCTCCCATTCTTCCCCTTTACATGTGGTAGTTTCTGTTGAGGTCACCCAGATCATGCTTCACCAAGACACTGGAGGGTAGTTCAAGGGGAGGACCCAAAAACCCCTGAAGGTTATTTATTTTGTAAAAAGTATGTATTTATTCTTATGTGTTGAAACTTCATTTATCTTCAAAATATTCTTCGTTTGATGCAATACACCTATTGAGACACTTTCTCCACTGCTCAAAGCAGTTTTTGAACTCATCGATTTTGATGACTTTAGTGCTTCTGCCATTTTTTGTTTCACCTCTTCCACATCAGCAAAACATTTCCCTCTGAGGACTTTTTTCACCTGGGGAAACACAAAGAAGTCTCCCTGGGTGAGAACAGGTGAATAGAGAGGGTAGGGCACAGGAGTCACGCTGGTTTGGATCAAAAACTTCTGAACACTCAGTGCAGTGTGGACAGGGATGCTCATAAATCACCCATCATGAAATGGGCAAACGCACTGAAAGACTCTCCAAAAAATATTCACTGCAGTGTTTGCCAAAACATTTTTCCTTTTACTCCTGGGCACACAGCTAGATTATAACTCCTTTGCAGTTAGGTGGGAACATGTGACACATTATGACCAATGGAAGGTTGGTGGAAGCGACAAAGCTACTTCCCAGACCTGGGCCCTAAAGACTTCTCCAGCACAATCTCCTGCACTCTCTTTCCTTGGAAGTTGGCTCAACATGAAGATCTTGGGGAGAACTTGAAGGTGATAGTCAAGCTACACAGAGACTGATAGAAGGATCTGTAGACCCTGAATAACTGTGTGGGGCAGAATCCTTCCAACACACTCACACCCCACCACTAACACTTCACCATCACCACCTGTCAGTCATTGGATTGTGCTGTAAGAGAAATAAACTTTTAATTTTTTAAGCATTGAGATTTGGGGTTAGACTAACTAATACTTGTCTCCTGACTTTTTTTAAAATTAATGAATTCCTATAATATCAGGTACTACAGCATTATATTGCTATGTTATTTTAAAATTCATATTATTCACCTCCCTTCTTTGATAGATGATAAAACTGAGGCCTAGAGAAATTAACTGACTTGCTCAAAGTCACACAGATAATTTGTGCTAGAACTTAAACTAAAATTTAGCTGTTACCTTCATTCCAGTACTCTGAATGGTACCATATTTTCTTCCTTCATACCATAATCCCAAATTTCTAATCCATTTACATTTGTATTTGCAGACATCAGGTTTAATATCACTTTCATTCCCGTTTTTCATATCTAGGGAACAAGAAAATTGGCCCAGATATTCTATGTTTCCTACTCTTCTCTGAAACTTGATTGCTATTCTCTTTATTTTCATGTAATTTTTCAAATTTTTCTTCTAATTCTACAGCTTTCTTCTGGTTCTCCTTGATTACAGCATGAGTTATTATTTTAGAAGTGGACAAAACTACTGGTTCTTTTTCCATATCCTGAACACCATTTCTCAAAATGGTGAGGAGAGATTATTTGTCGACATTTTCTTTATGTCTTTCCACTTTGGCTTATAGCTCTTGGCAACAAACTTTTCAGAAACTTATCTTGGGTGGAAGGCCTAGAAGCTGAGGCTGAATATATTCACACTTAGCAAGAGAGCCAGCAAGTTCCAATCAAGAATTTTCAATCACATCCCATTGATGGCTTGACTTCTCTCAGTAGGGGTATCCAAAATAAAATAAAATAAGATAGTTTCCTCTTCTAGAAACTCATTATTAAGCACAAGCATAATCATACTGAGTCTCCTTATACAATATTCTCCTTCTAGTAATTTGTTTCCATATAGGTCACTCTTCTCATTTGTCATAAGCTATTTCTCCCATCTGAAGCCTTGTCTTCCATGATTTATTTGTTTTCCCTTCCTGTCTTCCTTCCTTCTTTCTTTTTGTAATAATTGAAAGCTAACTCTCTTTTAGGCATGGCGCTAGGCTTTAAGCATAATTATGATGAGGATGCAATTCTTGCCTCTTTGTCCATCTGATACAATGATGATAGTGTCACATGTTTCTAAGACACGAGGGCGTGTGCTCACCCAAGTAATGAGATCTTTATCAGAGATATTTACGGGCTATTTCCCTGGTCTCTTAGAAGTTCTCTGTGTTTGTGCAGAGTCGATTCTTTTTGTTTCTGGCATTTTCCACATAGATATCTAACTTTATGACCAATACTACTTACATGAAAGATAACTAGTTATCCTAATATAGACATTTGTATTGAAGAAATCATATAAACCTTTGCTCAAGACATTGCTCACAAGCCAGAGCTTCATAATTACCATGAAGGACAAGCCCCTGAAAATCCAATCAGAGAACAAAGAGTACTTCGTTGGTGCACAGTGCAGATAATACCTCACATTCATCAAACAAGAAAGGTGGAGTCGGAATTGAATTCTGGTATACCAGAATATTAGAGAAGTTACTAAAGAGAAAGTTATCTAAAGAACTCCTGTGGTGATTACTATTTTAAAGTCAAAAATCCTTTTGTAAAGTGTAAAATGACTAGCTTTGTTGATTGCCTCCAGTTGTGTTTTGTAAATATGAATGATTATATATGCCTTGCTTCTTTGAAGAAGAAATCACCTGTGTAGAGATTTTGAATGTATAAAAGAAGACCAATCAAACAATTAAATATAAATAAATAAATACAAATTTAAAAGACCTAAAGGGAGGCATGAAGATCATGGACTTGGTATTTATTTTTTTATTTTTATTTTTTGAGTCGAAGTCTCACTCTGTTGCCCAGGCTGGAGTGCAGTGGCATGCTCACGGCCACTGCAGCCTCGACCTTCTGGGCTCAGGTGATCGTTCGGCCTCAGCCTTCCAAGTAGCCAGAACTACAGACATGGGCTACCATGCCTGGCTAACTTTTTGGTTTATTGTAGAGATGAGGTCTGCCAAATTGCCCATGCTATTCTTGAACCCGTGGACTCAGGCAATCCCCTCATCTCGGCCTCCCAAAGTGTTGGGATTACAGGCTTGAGCCACCTGCCAGCCTTGACTTGATATTTAAATGGGCATTCACTTTCATGAGCTTCAGCATCACACCCCTCAGATAACAAGATTATGCAGCTGGGGCCGGGGGTGGGAGGGCAGTCACTGAATGTGGGAGGAAAAGAAGCAAGCTATGCTCACTCTCCTTTAGAGATAATCCCTTGGTGTCTATAAATGAATGGGCTCCACAGGCAATAATGAATGGTGTGAGAACTGAACTTGGAGGGGGGCGAGGGAAAGTGACAGGGAATATGGAAATTGGGAAAACATTCAGTAGTTCATGCTGTGCTATCTGCCTTCCTCATTTGTGTTTTCTGAGTCAGCATTAGCTAAATTTTCCAGAAAGCTATCCACAAAGTACAGCCTGGGCGTTCAAGAGACGTCACTCATTTCCCCCAGTGACCTTGACAAGTCAGAAGCTTGAAAGCAGGGAAATCCGGATGTCTCAGTTATGAAGTGGAGCAGTGTGAGCCTCAACATATTTTCAGAACTCGCCATCCAGACTGGTGATTGAGCATCTGCCTCTCATACTGCCAGTGGCCATCTGGAGTGATTCCCTTGCTCTGAAGGGGTTGGCACAATGGCCAAGTGCTTCAGCCTGGTGTTGCTGCTTGCTTCCATCTGGACCACAAGGCTCCTGGCCCAAAGCTCTTTCCGTGTAGAAGGTAGGTTTTTTCTTATCAGATTTCCAAGCTGAGACAAGGCAAGATCTTACAGACTGTCCTCAGCCTACTAAGCTCTTGACTGGATTGCTAGGAATGGGGGTGACACTCCATGTCAATAGCGGGTCTAATTGGTAGTCTTACTCTTCCAGAAATGTTTTCACCATGTTGTCAACTTCACCAAAATGAATTTTAACCTTTACCTTTTGTGTTTTCTTGATTTTCATTTTTGGTTATAGAATATTTTTAATGAGGATATTTTGAAATAAAACATTGAGGATAAATGATTTATTTTTAAAGTGTTTCATTGAAGGAACAAACCATGATTGTAAAATAAATTTAAAGTAATCACTAAGACCTGGGAATAATGGGTAACTTTCACCAAATATTGGCCTATTTTTATGTTTTGGCTCCCCAGGGAATATGGGAAATGCCAGCATAATTATTTTAATTTCAATTTTACTATACCTTACATGGAATGCAGTGTTTTAAATATGCAGTAGATAGAAAATTGCCTGGAAAAAAACTGTGAAAATATAAGTTCAAAAATTAAACCAGCAGTTCCATACCAAAGGAATGACTTAAAGTGATTTCTGGGCTTTTAATGTCTGAATGGAAACCTCATTCTGCAATGTAGGCAAAAAATTATAACCACGAATCACTCATTGCAACTTGGGACAAATGAAAATCTGAGCACATTAAAAGGAAAATGTGTGTTCCGATGCTGGAAGATGTCCTGAGATACAAAGTTGTTGGAAACAGACATCCAGAGTTGATTCATATATGTTGCATTTAATTTTATAAGGGAGTTTAGATTCACATGATTGACTTTTTTTCAAATGCCAGAAGTGCTACTTTCAAGTAAGTTTGAGCCTCTCTGAAATTCTCTGGGGGGACTCTCCCTTCTTCCCCACAAAGCTGCCATCATTCACACTATTTTGGACATTGATCTTTGACAATGATTCTCTCATACTCTGGATCATTCTCAATAAAGGCAAAAATTTCCTAAGGAAATTAAGTTTTTGAAACAGCCAAAAGTTATCATAACTGTGATGGCAGAATAAGGTGATTGATGTAGATGAGTGAAGGGAATGGGAACTATTTTTGAGGGCCAATATGTAGAGATCCAGAGTTAGGTGTAGATGTAAAATTTCATTCCTCTCAAGAAGACATTTTGTAGATGAAGAAGCAGGCTCAAGGGGCAAGTGACTCATTCAAGGCCACGCAGGAGTAAAAATAGTAAATCTTGGGTTTGAATTTAACTTTGTCTGACTTGTAAACATATATGATTATCTTATATCATATACACATATCTGACTCCTAAGCATATTCTATTATCTGATATATCTTGAACATATACAATCATCTGATGTCATATACATATATACTATATATACACACATATATATACTATATATATACTATGCTTGCTGTTTCCTAAGAAATCTTAAGAAAGAGTATACTGGAGTATCCCTTGGATTTCAGTTCCCTCTTTTTAATCACTAAATGAAATAGGAAAACATAAAATAACTCATATCTGTTGACTTCTTACTGGACTCAAGTCCCTGCTGGGTACAAGTTACCTAATTTAATTCTGACAAAAATTATGTGAGAAAGATATACTTATCCCCATTTTATAGATGAGAACACTGACTTGCCTGACATCCCAATAGCCAGTTAACAATTTTAAAAATATCCAAAGGTAGGTCTATTCACCAAGAATAAGTCTATCATTACTCTAAATAGTAGTATTTAGAGGCCAGGCACAGTGGCTCATGCCTGTCATCCCAACACTTTGGGGAGCCAAGGCCAGAGGATCACCTGAGCCCAGGAGTTCAAGACCAGCCTAGGCAACATAGAGACAGATCTCATCTCAATAAAATAACATAAAATAAAATAAAATAAAATAAAATAAAATAAATAAAATAAAATAACCAGGTGTGGTGGTGCACGTCTGTAGTTCCAGTTACTTATGAGGCTGAGGCAGAAGGATCACCTGAGCTCAGAAGGTCGAAGCTGCAGTGAGCCATGATCATGTCCACTGCACTCCAGCCTGGGTGACAGAGTAAGACCCCCAACTAAAAGAAAAAAATAGTATTTAGAGTAAAAATGAAGTGTGATAAGAGAGTAACAAGCCACTTTATAGTATAATAAATAAGCTTTCTCTGTGATCCATTCCCAAACAAGCAACCATAAGAGGTATGAGCAAAAGCAAGCTTATGAGCTAAAGAAGCCACATTCCAGGTCAAACATTGTGGTCAGATAATTCAGCCTAGCTGTGCACACACACGTGTGTGTGTGTGTTCATATCCCTATAGCACAGTGGAAGGCAGAACAGTATCATAGTTAAGATCTGGGATTTATACTCAGGTGCCGTGGCACACACCTGTAGTCCCAGCTACTCAGGGTGCTGAGGCAGAAGGACTGCTTGAGCCCAGGAGTTAAGACCAGCCTGGGCAACATAGCAAGAGCTGTCTCTAAAAAAAAAAGAAAAAAAGAAAGAAAAGGGAGAGAAAGG